GATGGTGGAACATCTTTCTACATCTGATGAGCAGAGATCAGAAGTCTGGAGACGTGGAGATGGTTCAACATCTGCGGGATGAGGAGACACTTGGAGACATGGTGGTTCCAGATGTTTCACATTTTTGCAAAAATTATTGAAAGACCTTCAGCTTTGATTGTGATTTCCATCATTCTGTGTCTCACTGTGAAGACATCTAGTGGGACTTCTCTCTGCTTCATGCTGCTGAATATTGAATCCTATTTAACAACCAGTGAAAACACAACTTCTTGTATTCAGTGTTTCAGACACAGACCTCAGACAGCTGGTATTTTCTCCTGAAGTGAGCTCTCATGGCAGCTCGTTCTGCGTTTTTCTGAGCGTTTGTCGCTTCCCGAAGCTTCCTGCAAACACAGCAAACAGACGCACCTGAGACGCTGCAGACAAACATTAAAAACCATCTGAGACGCTGCAGAGGAACGTTTTATAAAAACCTGAGGTGCTGCAGTCACAGGTGACATAACTCACCTGCTCTGACAGAAGCATTAAAAAGCTGCTCAACTGCAGTAAAGTTTCACCAGATGTGAACGTTTTCATTTGAATCTTTCTCAGGTTAAACTTCATTCACATTGTCTTTATTTTTATATTCCTCTGCTGAGAAGTCACGGTTTTATTGGTAGAATATTGTTTATCGCTCAGTTCCTGAGCAGTTCTTTGCTGTTTTACATTTTGCTTTAGTCCATTCGCCTGCAGCTTGTTTCGCTGTCAGCTCACCTGTAGCAGCCAGAACTAGACGTTATTTCACAGAATTTAAGTGATTCTCTACAATAAAGTGATGAATTATGGGGACATCGTTTAAAACTCGTATTCTGCCGATGATCAGTCGAGTTTCTTTATACGTGAAATTAAACGAGAAAGATTTAAAACCGGTGAAACAAAACGTGACTTATATCTAAATCCTAGCGTTCTGTTTGTAGCCGGTTCGGTTCTTTTCAACATTTCAGTTTTTCCTTATTGACATGCACAGACTACATTCATCTGCATGTTAGAAGTTATTTTACATCCACAATCTGACTGAATGAGATGAATGATGCTGCAGGACGTCCACACTGTGACCATGTGACCGGCTACAGACGCAGGTCCTTCCTTTATGTGCATGTTTGGACCTTCAGGACCGTTTCCCTCCTAACGGCGGGTTCTGTTGTGTCTGCTGAAGGTGCTGAACCCAGCACTCCACTTGCCTCTCCTTCTCCAGGTCGGCCCGGTACGACCGGAGCACCGGCGGGTCTCTGGGGTGCTGGGCTCTGGGGGGAGGGGCCCTCCTCGTCCGGCTGCATCCCGCTCGGCCTCCAGCGCCTCTCCGGCACCGGCTGCTCCGGCGCTTGGCGGTCAGCCTCCTGTCCTTCACCCCTGAAACGCAGCTGCTCAGCTTCCTGATGGGCGTCCTCAGAGACTTCTTCACCCTCACCACGGACTCCATGACGGCGGCGGCGGCTACTTCCTGCACAGACGATGCTGCTCTCCTTCGCTCATGTTGTGACAAACCCAGCGTGACCTCTGGCTGCTATAACTCAGACCTGCCAAGGACAAGGACACCACTGAGCTGCTGCTTTAAGGCTACAAACACACGGAGCGTCGATCATCTGCTGGAGGAACCACACAAGGACGGACAGAGACGACTGCTGCAGCAACACATGGAACCGACTGTTGTTCAGCTTCATCCACTCACCAGAAGCTTCTCACGCTGTCTCCATCCCGCTGAAGCTCCGTCCAGACGGCTGCAGCAGAACCCTCAAAGCTTCCAGACGAGGGAACGAGAAGGAAAAAGTGACACTGTGGAGGAGCCGTGGGAGCTGCTGCTCGGCCCTCTGAGCACAAAATGCCCGTTTGCTGTTGGGTTTGTGCTCCACACACAGATTAGCACTTATAGGACTTAACGAGGGGAATCTCGTTAGCCGTGGCAGGGAATGCACCGGCGGCTCACGTGTCTGTGGAGACTTAGAGGCTGATGTCATGCTGAGTGACTCACGCAGGTGTTCACAGACCTGACATCAGCGTCTCTGGTCGACTCTCTCAGCCGCCTTCTGTGTTTCATTCACTTCAGACAGGCTGAAGCACATTTAACCAACAAGTGGAGCTGCACACAGCGGCCACAGCATCCTGGTATCAACGCATGACTGCAAAAAACACATAAAGGCACCAATAACCTGCACGGTAAAGCAGTGACACGTCAAACACACAGCAGTGCAGGTAACATGGACAATAACACAGAAGCAACAACAATGTTGATATTAACACACAAACTATAGAAAACGCCTCAAAATCCTCAATAATGACGAACAAAGTGTAAAAACAACCACAAGATTAATGCAAAAAAGATTCAAAACATGAAACATAAACCACCAAAATGTCCAAACTCTGGCTATTCATGCATATAACCATCAATAACCCACATTTGAATGCACAAAACTATAAAATAATGGACATGAACAAACAAAAGAACCTAAATATTAACACACCAAAGTGCAAAAAAATGGTCAAAAGTCAGGATAGTCGTGTACAAGATGTAAAACAACCTGGATATAAATGTACAAAAGTTTAAAAAACTGGACAATAAACCACCAAAATGTCACAAATCCAGCTGTTAATACATGAAAGCATGAATAACCTTCATATTACTGCAACAAACCGTTAAAGAAAGGGAAAAACCTGAATATTAATGCATAACAATGAAAAGAAACTTAATATTAGCACACAGCAAGTACCAATCATGTGGATATTAGAGTCACATGTATTCATAAAACAACTAGAGTTGAACCAAAGGGCTGCATAATTAAAATAGCAAACCATGAAACTCAATTAAATTAACTGCAAAAGTGTCAAAAAGCTGCATTTAACATGAAGACACTTGATGTTAGCACACAGACGTACCGACAATTTTGGTGTTCAGATGCCAAAAACCTGAATATTATAATCAATAACGATGCAAACCAATAACACAGTTATTAAACCTCCTGGATGGTCTGCTTCATACCAGCAGCAAGTGGTGGAGCAAAAGATACGACGTCTGTCAGAGGAGGTCTGGATGGACGTCTGGAGATAAAAGACGTGGAAAAGGAAATGAAAGGACGGAGCAGCTGCTGGACCAGAGATGGCAGCTTCTGAGATAAGATGGAAGTCCTGATGAACGGACAAGTTGAACCTCCAGAGAACAAACAGGAAACACATCAGCGCTGAACAAGAACAGGAGCTGGTGGCCGAACACAGACGGATCCTGGATATTAAAGCAGCAGAATAAAAACCTGGATCCTAACGCAGAGCATAAACCTGACATCAGCACACAGGTGGATCAGATACCTGAGCAGCAGAGGTCAAACAGCTGCAACTAGAACACACCCTGAATGCACTAAACATGAATGTTAACAGAGGAGAGCATCAAAACCTCAACATTAAATGGTAAATGATCTGCACTCATGCGGCGCTTTTCTACCTTTGCAGCACTCAAAGCGCTTTACAGTGTTTCTCATTCACACACATTCATACATTCAGCGGCCACAGAGCTCCGTGCACGGTGCTGCTGCCGTTGGGAGCAACTTCAGGTTCAGTGTCTTGCTCAAGGACACTTTGACTGTGGAGGGGCGGGAATCGAACCGCCAACCTTCCGGTCAGAGGACAACCAGCTGATCCACAGCCACCCGTGAACACACAACACTGCAATAAACGTGGACATGAACACACAGAAGCTACAGAACTGGACAGAAAAGCATCAAAGGGTCAAAAACTCTGGAGATTAACACACAAAAGTAGAAATAAACCTGAAAACTAGTGCACATAAATATTAACACAGAAAGTTTCAAAAACCTGAAAATGAATGAACCAACATTTTTTAAAAGTGGATATGAAGCTAAAAACCTGAATCTTAATGCATCAACTTAAAAGAAACTAAAAACTGGACATAACGGCAGCAAAATGTCAAAAATCTGGAGATTAACACACAAAAGCAGAAATAAACCTGAATATGAATGAGCCACATGGGTCAGAACCGGGTTTCTATCTGGACTGAGACGTTCCTGTCGTCTCTCCACTCAGGACTTATCACCAGATCTAACACCAGCCCGTCAGTGGTTCTGCCTGTTAACTGGGTTCAGTGTGTTGTTGGACACATCGATGCTGCTGAGGTTCTAATCTGTGGGTTCTGTTGTCAGACTGTGCTGCAGCTGTTCTGCTGGTTCCTTTTCTGGCTCATCCTTCTGCTTCTGGCCGTCCTTGAGCGCCTCCCTGCCGTCCTGCTCTAATGGCCCAGTTGGCAGCAGCACAGTCTCCACCCGCCGCTGCTCGGACCAGCGGACCTCTGACAGGTGACCCGGCTCTAATGCTTTAACAGGATCAGGAGGGAAGCCCCGCCCCCGCAGACCCCAGATCAGTTTACTGGTGCAGAGAGCAGCTGGTTGGGTCTGAATGGAGGCAGCATGGACCGGGTTCTCCACAGCCGGCTGCTTTAGGACGTTACAGCAGAAAGGTTCTGCTGGGAGCGATTCACACGGTTCTAATGCTGCGAGTGAACGGCGCCAGCACTCTGATGTCCTGGTTTAGATGAACCTTAAACATGACTGTGACGGCTGAGTGGACAGAACCATGACTCACTTCAAAACTAACTCCTGTTTAGTTCATCTAGTTATCTGATAACTTCATGACAACATCATGATGCTGCAGACAAACAAAAACAACAACTACCTATACAGGAAACACTGGTTTAACTGGTTTAGGGTGAAGGTTGGGGCTCTGGTTCTTCTCCTGTAGAAGTTTAGCTGAGTGTGTGAGAGCAGAGCTTCCATGCAAGCCCACCACACAGAGAGCCACTTAAAGGATTCTCTGGTGGATCAGCGTCCGACACGTGACCCACACATAAACACACACACACACACACACACACGTTGTCATGCATGACCTTTAAGGAACACACTCCAGCGGTCGGGCGTGGAGGTGTTGAGGTCGAAGCCCAGCGAGGAGTTCAGGGTAAAAAGGCTAATTCTCTCGTTTGAGTGTTAAAGCGAATTACCTTGATGCAGCATGTGATGGCACACGTGTCTGCTGAGTAACGCACAGCTGTCACACAATCACACAATCACACAATCACACACCTGTCAATCACACACCTGTCAATCACACACCTGTCAGTCACACACCTGTCAGTCACACATGCACCGTCTTGAACGCCACGTTACAGTCGTTTTAAAAAGCAAATACAAACTTAATGTTTTGTAATAAATTAGCTTCAGCTGCTTTACTGTGATGACTGTGGGGTATGTGCTCATCTCTCAGAGGAGACAGAAGCTCACTGCTGCAGGAAAACTGATTTAATCCTGAAAACACTGAACATATAATCCATTAGCATCATTAGCAGCATAACCTAAATACATAAAAACATCTGAGACTGTTGCTCTAAATAAACCCAGTGTGACCACCAGGAGATCCGCCGGTGTGCTTCTGACAACATCGAATCTTTGAACGCTTTGTTTATTTAAATTGTAACTGGATATGTTAAAACTAAAGACCAATGTTAATTCAGCCATGAGGTCGTATGTACGCCCCCTACAGGTTATTCTGCACATAAACCATCAGTTCTCATGTGTGACACTTAACAAGCTAATTAATCAGGTTTATTTAAACGAGGTCATCAGTTGACCTAAAAGATGGATTCAATTTATTTATAGATTTAGTCATAAAGCACATTTACTTTATTTACCACCACCGTGCTTCATCATGATGCTGCCACCGCCGTGCTTCATCATGACGCTGCCACCGCCGTGCTTCATCATGACGCTGCCACCGCCGTGCTTCATCATGATGCTGCCACCACCGTGCTTCATCATGACGCTGGATATTATATTCTAAATCAAAGTCTGTGATGTGTGTAAATTACTGTTGCTAACAAAGGATCTCAGATTGCTGCAGTCTTATATTAATCAATAAACATCGTTCAGGCTCCAAATGGCATCTTCAGCCTGCTGATGTAAACAGATGTTTACCATCTTCTTTGTTCAAAGCAGCTTCTTTCAGCCGTTCTTTGTTGAATGGAGGCTCTTGGCCTTCAGTCACCTTTTCAGCAGGATTTTCTGTCTCTAATTGAAGGTCTGGTTGCCTGGAGATGTTGTACGTGGAGATGTGAGGATTCCCTTTGTATGTCGTATTTGTCATCATTAGGGTCCGAGCACCCAAAAGGGTGCCAAGACCCTATTGGAACTGCTCGGATTATTATTATTATTCATTCTTCAGGACAAAGGAACGCGTTTTTGAGGTACACAACGTACTCACACACTCACCAAACTCGCCACACACATCAGACCTGGCGAAAATTTTATAATTAGGGGGAAATACTAACCTCAATAGTAAAATGGCTCAATAGTGCCCCCTACAATATTACAAAAAATGGGCCATTTTGAAAAAAATGGAGGCTCGCCGCTGAAAATCGGCCATTTA